AGAAACAATTTGGGAAAGTTTCTCAATTCTGACAGCCATTAGATCCCGGATTGAGTGGCCAGCCAGTAGCCAGCATCAGAAGTGAAAAAAACCCCACACCAAAGTACATCATTGAGAAATTTCATCAGAGGTGTACTGAGCCACAAACATCACACACCTCTGACAGTCCCTTTCTGCCTCTTCTCCCTCTTCTGGAGAGCACCCTGTTGGCTTCTCTTGTAGACCGAATTATGCCTGCTCTTTTAGAATTGGAGGAAATATCATACTGTGCAACATGAGTCCTGGTTTCTAGCAAGTGCTGAGGGTCTGGACGATACCTGGAAATACAGACAAGTTAGCTTTGTAATCCTTGACAAATGGAAATAGGAGATGGGAGGGAGCTGGGCAGATGGATTTTCCCCTTCTTCACTCTCCCTTGCAGTTCCTCTTTATGACCCTTCTAGAAGATTCTCTTGTGCCTGATGGACCAGCAGCTACCTGGTAATGCTTGGCATTGCATCCCCCTCCCTCACTCCTCTTTCCCTCTGCATTCTTTTCTTTTTTTTTTTTTTAAGATTTTATGTATTTATTTGAGAGAGAGCTCTGGAGAGCATGAGTGGGGGGAGGGGGCAGAGGGAGAGGGAAAAGCAGACTCCCCACTCAGTAGGGAGCCCACAAGGCAGGGCTGGATCTCAGGACCCTGGGATCATGACCTGAACCAAAGGCAGATGTTTAACAAAATGAGGCACCCAGGCACCCCCTTCCCTCTGCATTCTATTATAGAGACTTTCAAACATACAGGAGAGTTGAAAGAATTTCACAACAAGCACCTATATACCCATTACCTACCTGTTTACCACGAATATTTTGAGCAGCTTTATTGAGATATAATTTAAATTCCGTAAAATTGACCCATTTAAAGTATACAATTCAATGGGTGTTAGTATATTCATAGAGCAAAGCAAACATTATCACAATTTTAGAACCTTTTCTTCACCCCCAAAAAGAAACCCTCTACCCTTTAGCAGTCACTCCCAGTCCCCCTGTCCCAACCTTAAGCAACCACTAATCTACTTTCTGGCTCTATGGAATTGCCTATTTTGGACGTTATATATAAATGGAAACACAATATGTGGACTTTTGTGTTTGGCTTCTTTCACTTAGAATTAGATTTTCAGGGTTCATCCATGTTGTAGCACGCATCAGGACTTCATTCCTTTTTATAGCCAAACAGTATTCCGTTGTAAATAATTAATATTTTATTAGATTCACTTTATCACATGTCTCTCCATCTATCCATCCCTCTATTGATCCATTAATCTGTCTTGTATCTTTTATGTATTTCTATGTAGACTTACTTCCCTTCTTCCCCAACCCTCAGCACCTTTGCTTTGCACACCTCTCAAATAAAGCTTGTATCACATGGTCACCTTAGGTACAAAGGAGAGAGTGCCCAGAGAGACGGAGTGCCCAGCCTTCCGACCTCTCTGGTAGAGGGAAAAGGGAGACTGGGAATGGATTTTTGCTACTTTGGCATACAGTGTTTCTCAATCTCATCCACACCTCTTCCTCCATTGCATCCCACAGATCTTGTGTTCCAGAAATGCCAAATTCCTTAGAGCTCCCTGAACACCCACATTATTTCGGGCTCCATCTCTTGCAGGTGCTCATTAGCTGCCTAGCCTTCTCTGGGGGACAGAGTCTCCCTCATGGTTCAGCTCAGCTGTCACTCTTCAGTGGAGTATCTGCAGCACACAGACAGACAGACAGACACACACACACACACACACACACACACACACAAGCCCTCTGGCCTCCCTTTGCTTGTTTTATACTCCCATTATGGCATTTACCATACTCTATTGAATTAACCTTTTGAGCTGTCTCCACCAGCCTGTAAAACCTGAAGGGCAACGGCCAGGTATCATGTGTCTTGGTTTCCCTAGAACTCACTGTAGGGCATGGCTCAATAAATATTGGTTGGATAGTGAGTGGAAAACATCTAGTTACCATCTTCACTGTTGTTTATTCGACAAATGTTTTGTTGGGCATGCACCATGTGAGGCCGTACGGTGATTTTCTAGTTTGGATACAAGTTGAGTATCCTGGGTCTCGGGAGCCACAGGACATTTCTGTCTGGACAAATGCAAAACTAGACAGGATGCCAGGACAACAGATGTAAACTGGGACTGTCCCAGGCAAACCGGAACACATGGTCACCCAAATTATATATCAGCTTCTATGAAAACAGCAGTGCCATGCTGACTCATGCCTGGCCTGTCAGACCCAGTCACTTCCAGAGCAGGCCAATTACTTCTCGTTAGTGCTTGGGTCATATATGCTTTTCATTGTTGTTACCCATGTAGAAATTATCCATGAAATTTAATATTCCTAGGGCATTTTATATATATAGTGCATATAAACACATATACTTAAGCAATTAGAAAAAAAATCATCTGATAAAGAACTGAAAACACTTTCCAACCTTTTTTGATGTCCTGGAATGTATGTTTGTAATCAGTGTGTGAAATCCATTATATATAAAAAGTTGGTATTAACAATAGACTCTAGGGGCACCTGGGTGGCTCAGTGGGTTAAAGTCTTTGTCTTCAGCTCAGGTCATGATTCCAGGGTCCTGGGATCGAGCCCCACATAGGGCTCTCTGCTCAGCAGGGAGCCTGCTTCTTCCTCTCTCTCTGCCTGCCTCTCTGCCTATTTGTGATCTCTGTCTGTCAAATAAATAAATAAAATCTTTTTTAAAAAATGGACTCTAGTCTATTATGGGCATTTGGAGGTTTCCAGCTTGTGACCATTATGAATAATGGAACTATGAACATCTCAATGTGGATTCCTTTTTCTTTTGTATGAGGCATTATTTGGAGGTATATACTCCCAAGATGGAGTAACCTAGTTGAAGCAGGGGGAAAATTGATATATATTATTTTCTATGACTCAATATCTTACTGCTCTTCTAAAAGTCTTGGTCAATTTACAGAGCACATCTGTTTCTTACAACTCTGCCAATAATTTATATGATCATTTTTATGTACTAATAGAAGCTTATTGTCATGTAGGGTATTCTTTGGATTTTTCTTTTTTCTTTTTCTTTAAAGATTTTATTTATTTGAGAGAGAGAGAGAGAGAGAGAGAGAGCAAGAGAGAGAAAGCATGAGGGGGTGTGAGGGGCACAGGGAGAAGCAGACTCCCTGCTGAGCAGGGAGCCTGCCACAGGGCTCAATCGTAGGACCCCAGTATAATTACCTGAGCCAAAGGCACACACACAACCATCTGATCCACCCAGGTACCCCTGGTGTGATTTGAATTTTTAATTGCTACAGAGGTTATACTTATACTTTAACCAAAAACAAGTTAGTTTTTGGAAAACAGTGTGTATGTATGTGTGTATATGCGTATGTGTGTATGTATATTTGTGTCTTTTATAATTACAAGGTATGTTATAGATATTCATTAAATATTTATTGGGGGTACCTGGTGGTTCAGTCAGTTAAGTGTCCAATTCTTGGTTTTGGCTCAGGTCTCAGGGTTGTGGGATCAAGCCCCGTGTGGGGCTCTGTGCTGGGCCTGGAGTCTGCTTGAGATTCTTTCCTTCTCCCCCACCCTCTTCCTCTGCCCCTCCCCTTGTGCACACATGTACTCTTGTTCTCTCTCAAATAAATAAATAAATAAATTTTTAAAAAATTTGTTGAATTAATGAATATTAAAATAACACATTCACAAAAAGACAATAGCTGCATGATTCCACATACATGAGGAATAGACTACTAGAGTAGTCAGATCAGTAGAGACAGAAAGTAGAATGGTGGTTGCCAGGGCCTAGGGAGTGGAGACAATGGGGAGTTGTTGTTTAATGAGTATAGACTTTCAGTTTTGCAAGATGAAAAGAGTTCTGGAGATGGAAAGTGACTATGGTTGCACAACAATGTGAATGAACTTAAGACTCTTGAACTGTACATTTAAAAATTATTAAGGTGGTAAATTTTAAGTTAAATGTATAAATACATATTTTTGTAACTCAATGGTCATTTGGCATGTATCATCAGTAGAAATGGACCTACAAAATACAGTCATGCATGTTAAATGAAACTTCATGTGTGGGACTTTTTAGATTAAAATGACTGCTAATTTTTCAATGCAGGGACAGGCAGAGATGTGTGATATTAATATCATTATATAGCAAATAGAGTAGGAATCACAGACCAGATAATATATGAACATTCAAGGGCACCTGGGTGGCTCAGTGGGTTAAAGCCTCTGCCTTCAACTGAGGTCATGATTCCAGGGTCCTGGGATCGAGCCCCCACATCAGGCTCTCTGCTTAGCGGGGAGCCTGCTTCCTCCTCTCTCTCTGCCTGCCTCTCGGCCTACTTGTGATCTCTCTGTCAAATAAATAAATTAATTAAATCTTTAAAAATATATATATATGTATGAACATTCAATATTAACAGGAAAGTGTTCAACGTTTAAAAAACCATGCATCTAACTTTCTATTGTCTGTGGATAAAATACAGAGGCAGAGCTTAGGGGAATCATAGAGACATCCACTTGAACTTTTTACCTTAATGATGAAGCGAGGGGCTAAGTGACTTCCCTGTTTCAAGGACAGCCTCATCTGTCCCTTTTATTTTATTTATTTATTTATTTATTTATTTGGCTCATGCCTAGCATGGACTCACAACCCTGAGAAGACCTCTGCTGAGATCAAGAGTTAATTGTCTGAACCACCCAGGCACCCCTCATCTGTCCCTTTTATAATGCACTCCAGCTAAATCATCTTTATGACTTATTGGCAAGAATGGATGACATGGCCTACCCCAGCTCCCCCAGAGGATGCTAGGAAAGCAGAAACTAGAACAGATTAGACACATTGCCACCCCAAATACTTACAATTCCCTTAACAAAGAAAGAAAAGGAGAATGGATATTGGAAAGGCAATCAGCAGCATCTGTTACACTCACATTAGTGTTTTTGTTTTGTTTTCTTTCTTGTTTGGGGGGCTACAGGCTGGAACCAATGGTTATATGGCTCCTGAAATCCTAATGGAAAAAGTGAGTTATTCCTATCCTGTGGACTGGTTTGCAATGGGATGCAGTATATATGAAATGGTTGCTGGACGAACACCATTCAAAGATTACAAGGAAAAAGTCAGTAAAGAGGATTTAAAGCAAAGAACCCTGAAAGAAGAGGTCAGATTCCAACACGATAACTTCACAGAGGAAGCAAAAGATATTTGCAGACTCTTCTTGGCTAAGAAACCAGAGCAACGTTTAGGAAGCAGGTAAACTACCGTGTAATAGAGTTGATTAGCAATGTCAGCACTGTCCACAGGAATTTGGAAAATACTTGGGATTAGTGATGAAGACTTGGGGTTAAGTATTATTATTTTCCTGTTATTATTTGCATATTATATGGTTAAGTATTTCTGACACTTTCAAACACTGTGAGCACTTGATGTGGCACGATCTCTAAGACATATATATATATATATTTTTTAAAGATTTTATTTATTTATTTGACAGACAGAGATCATAAGTAGGCAGAGAGGCAGACAGAGGGAGAGGAAGCAGGCTCCCTGCTGAGCAGAGAGCCTGATTCGGGGCTCGATCCCAGGACCCTGGGATCATGACCTGAGCCGAAGGCAGAGGCTTTAGCCCACTGAGCCACCCAGGCGCCCCTCTAAGATATATTTTAAAGTAAAAAAGGTGCAAAACGGCATACATTTAAAAAAAAGAAGAGGAGGAAAGGGAAGGAAAAGAAAGGAAAGGAGAGAAGAGAAAATAAATCTATAATTCAAATAGTTACATAGATTTGTCTCTAACAAAAAAAAATTAGGGGCGGGTGACAGGGATACAAATGATTTTCACTCTATAACCCTATTATCTCTTTAATTTTGAATCATGAATAAATGATTCAAAATGAACAAAATTAAAACTTAAAACCATCAGTACTGGGGCTCCTGGGTGCCTCAGTTGGTTAAGCGTTTGCCTTTGGCTCAGTTCATGATTCCATGGTCTTGGGATCGAGCCTCACACCCCACATCTGGCTCCCTGCTCAATGGGGAAGTCTGCCTCTCCCTTTGTCTCTCACCCAGCTTGTGCTCTCTCTGGCTCTCTCTTATTTATTAAATAAATAAAATATTTAAAACAAACAAAACCCATCAGTACTGAGAGTTAGAGCTCTAGGAAATTCTGCCCCCCTTTTTTATTTTTGCAAAGATTTTATTTATTTATTTGACAGGAAGAAACAGCGAGAGAGGGAACACAAGCAGAGGGAGTGGGAGAGGAAGAAAGCAGAGGCTCCAACCCACTGAGCCACCCAGGCGCCCCAAAAAATCCCCTTTGTTTCAAGCCATGATGACTTTAAGATTTGCCTGTGATAGTGACACGGCCTATTCTGACCACATGAATGCAACAACAAGGGAATCTACACAGAAAAATCAGTTCCACGGTCTCCTTCACATAAATGTAGAATTTCCGTCAAATTTCAAAATACTCATTTATTAGTTTGGTATCTGTCATGCTTTGGAAGGAATTACAAATGGATTTTGTTTTTCTATTTAAAAAAAAAAAAAGGTCAAGAATTAAAAGCTAACCTCCATACTCAAATGTTTTGAGTATTCTAGAACAAGCAACCTTGTTCTAGAGCCTTCATCGACAGCTGCTTGGAAGACTGTTGGACAATCTTGTTGGACAGCTGCTTGGATGATCCGGTCTGGGGTAATAGTAAAAATCAGTCATATTACTTCATGTTGTAGCTTTCATATTTGTATATATTTTTAAATTTTGAAAATTCAATCTAAGAATTTAAGACATTCAAGCTCAAAGTTCAGTCATAATATTATCTGGTATCTCTCTTAGAACAAGTTAGTAATAATTGCTACCACTTATTGAATGAGTTATAACACACATTGTATCTAACTTTATATATGTTATAGCTAAACCTCAAAGTATCCCACTGTATTAGTCAGTGTTCTCTAGAGAAATAGAACCAGCCGGATGTTGAAAAGGTCCAGAATGTACCACAGTAACATAAAAATCATTTTGAAGGCATTTGTGAGTCAAAAGTTACAGGTTCTGAACTCCCCTCATCTGCCTAGAAGCAGACTCCGCCCCCCACCCCCAACTCAACTCATCAATCTTCTCTCTGGGAGTTTTAGAGCCGGGAAAGATTGACTCTTATCACCAGTGACAGAAGTCTGTACCACATCTAAACAGACATTGTCACAAATCTATCATATCTCCCATCTCTTCTCCTAAGGGCCCATTTATCTCTCCTTAGTCATTTGTTCTCCCACAAGTGCCTTTCCTCCCAGCAATTCTAAGAAATTATTTGTTTTCCTGCAAGTACCGTTCACCTCCTCCCCTTCCACTATTAAGATGGTCTATAATTCTAACTGATGATCCCAGTCACATTTTTCTGTGAAAGGGTCCATATACTCTTGTATATGTGCATAAATAAAAACCTGTCCTTTCTTGTACTAATCTGTGTTTTGTCAGTTTAGTTTGCAGGTCTCCAAAGGTAAGAGGGTAGAGAAGTTTTTCTCCCTGACAGTATGTGTGCATGTATATGAGAGAGACACAGAGAGAGGGAGAGAGAGTAAGAGAGAGATTTATTTTAAGGAATTGGCTTGCACAGTTGTGGAAGTTTGGCAAGTCCGAAGGCTGCAAGATAGGCTATCAAGATGGAGACCAGGGGAAGAGTTGCAGTTCAACTCTGAAGATGGTTTGCCAACAGAATTCCTTCTTCTCTCAGGAAGTCAGTTGTTTTCTGTGAAGGCCTTCAACTGACTGGGTGAGACCCATCCACATTACAAAGAAAAATCTCCTTTACTCAAAGCCTACTCATTTATATATTAAGCTTATCTAAAAAATACCTGCACAGAAACATCTAGAATAATTGATCAAATATCTGAGTATGGTGGCCTAGTCAAATTGTCATAAAATTAATCATTACACCCATAACTCCCCCATTTTAATACATGAGGACATTGCGACTCTGAGAAAATAACTCAATTGTTTCAGTTAAAATGACCTACATAGCTGGGATGAGAGTCTATGTCTGTGAATCTAAAGCCCTTGGTTTTTTCCTCTATATAACACAGTCACCCACTGCCAAGGGCCTTTTTCCAAGTCAGCTTTCACTTATTTTTTTTTCTTCTAAAATTAATCTTGATCTTATTATTCCCTGTAAGCAATGATACTCGACCTTCTTTAAAACTAACATCAACTGGGGGCGCCTGGGTGGCTCAGTGGGTAAAAGCCTATGCCTTCGGCTTGGGTCATAAAATCCTTTTTTTTTTTTTTTTTAAGATTTTATTTATTTGACAGACAGAGATCACAAGTAGGCAGAGAAGCAGACAGAGAGAGAGGAGGAAGCAGGCTCCTCGTTGAGCAGAGAGCCTGATGCGGGGCTCCATCCCACGACCCTGGGATCATGACCTGAGCTGAAGGCAGAGGCTTTAACCCACTGAGCCATCAAGGCATCCTGGGTCATAAAATCTTAAAAAAAAAGAAACCAAAAAACTAACATCAACTGTACTTAACATACCTAGCAATATTATATGCAGTCACTAAATATCTGTTGACCAATTGATATCTTGGAGAGACTTTTTTTTTAAGATTTTATTTATTTATTTGACAGAGAGAGAGGGAGAGATCACAAGTAGGCAGAGAGGCAGGCAGAGAGAGAGGGGGAAGCAGGCTCCCTGCTGAGCAGAGAGCCAATTTGGGGCTTTATCCCAAGACCCTAAGATCATGACCAGAGCCGAAGGCAGAAACTCAACCCACTGAGCCACCCAGGCACCCCTTAGAGAAACATTTAAAAGGAGCAGAATTGGGGCACCTGGGTGGTTCAGTCATTGGGCAGCTGCCTTTGGTTCAGGTCATGATCCCAGGGTCCTGGGATCGGGCCCTGCATCGGGCTCCCTGCTCGGCAGGGAGCCTGCTTCCCTTCCTCTCTCTGCCTGCCTCTCTGCCTACCTGTGATCTCTGTCAAATAAATAAAAAAATCTTAAAAAAAAAAAAAACAAAAAAAACAAAGGGGATTTTTTTCTCCCTCTCACAAAGTGAGTTACAGGTGCAGCAGCATTCCCTTTGGGTACCTCCCTTGGAGCAGAGACTCAGAGAGCCAGGCTGCATCCATCCCACAGCTCAGCTGGAACCTGTGGCTCACAGAGAAGAGAGCAGAGACAAGCTAGGGGAGCTTTCTACTGCCTCAGCCTGGGAGTGACTCAGTCCTGCATCACTTACACTCACTTAGGTTTGCCCTGTGCAAGGTTGAAGGGTCTGGCCAGTGTTGTCTTCCTGGTGCCCAAGGAAGAGGGGAGAACCAGAAAGGGTGACCCCAGACCATCTCTACCATCCGGGTTCTCAAGTGCAGGGAATCTACAAGGGCATACCAACAGTGGCGGAGGCAGCAAAGAAAGCCAACAGTCTCTTCAGATGACATTCCTGAAGGGAGCACCGCCTGTTTGGTGTGTTTGATCGAGAAATCTATCTTGATACTCTATAAACACACTTCGGGTATATAAAATGAAGTATTGACAACTTCTTCAGGAAAATGCCACCTTAAAGCATTGGATCATTGCCTGAAGCTGCTCCATCAAGCAAAACCTTTTTATAAAGCATCTGTTGTGGCTGTTTTGAATAAAACTGTTTACAACATTAGAGAAAAGGCATATAAAAATCAGCTGTTTGGTGAAAAAGAAAACCTTCCAACGTTTTCATTTCAACTCTCTGTATTTTTTCTCAATTCAAATGAGATGATGTTTGATTAATTTAGTGCTGTCCTTCAAAGGCAAGCAAATGCCTACACAACACATTACACAGCAGAGAGGTCAGGCAGGGCCCTCCCTCTTGCATTCACAAACATTTGAAATAAATTTTAAAACCCTTTTCCTTCTTTAGACACCACTGAAAGGAGCTCCTCCTTTGTCTTCGTAGGTCTGTGAATTATGTTTTGCAAAAAAGTTGAAAGCTTTAAAAAAAGAGGTTGGAAGCTTTTCTGAGCATCTCACAAGGACTATAGATAGGGTTTACAATGTTTTCTAATAAAATTAAAGCCGAAGACCACTTAAGTATTTTGCAGGTTTTCTTTTGGTCACTCAATGCAGCAGAAAAGAGCAATGAACCATGCGAGTCTCTGACTTAAGTGCTTCTCCAACACATCATCTTGCACCCATATGCACCGTTCTTGGCAGACCAAACCCCACAGTCGTCTTCATGTATGGTCAGGTGGTATCTTTTCTTTACTGACTGTTATAAGAAAATCCATTGTAATCTCTATGTAGGGTTCAGTAACACAAGAGCTCCTATAAATGTTCTGAAATAGAACCAACTCCAATCAGCAGCAGAAGTCTTCCTGCAGCTGCCAGGTTGGCTAGTGCAAAAGATGTAGCCTCCGTCAATAGCCTCTCCTATTTTTCCAAAGTGCACTGCCTAAGGATGGGCCAAAAGATCCCTGCATGAAGCTGCCGGGCAAGATTCAAGAGTAAAATAACATCCATCCTATTTCTAGTGCAGAACTGAGGTTGAGAGTCATTAGTGCAAAAGATAAAGTGGTAAGATCTGCAGTGGTCCAGACACTAAGTAAAAGGAATAGGGGTTGGAAAGCCTAGTCTTTTGTTATTACCATAAGCAACCACAGACACTTGAGAAAGGGCACAAAGGATGGGCCTGCCCTGCCCAGGGTCAACTAGTCAGGGTGCTAATGAACATAAAGAAAACCTTTAGTGGCCTATTGTTCCCTTTCCTTTGTGACTAGTTCCAAAAGGGCTGAAGTGGCCATCCCTGATGGGTGAACCAAAGCTATCTGGGCCTGTGGCTTGAGGTGTTCCTTGAGAATATCCTGTCATGACTGGCTTGGCAAGTTTTCAAGGCCACTGAGCCCCTGGGCATTCTTTGTTTATCCAAGTTAAAGTTGTTCAGAGTGACTTTAAGGTGCTTTCTTGACCTGTGGGATGGTGAGTTCATGCCTGCTGGTGGCCATCAAGGGTGGGACAGGCTCCTTCCTCATGGTACCTGGTCCCATTCCAGCTCCTTTGATTTCTTTGAGACACAGAGTCTTGGGACTCATTCCTGGTTTACATAGATGGAATTCTAGCTCGATCCTTGTTCTGCCACGTTTAAATTCTTTTTTTTTTAAGATTTTATTTATTTATTGGAGAGAGAGAGAGACAGAAATAGAGAGAGAGAGAGCAGGAGCAGGGAGGAGAGGGAGAAGCAGGCTCCTGTTGAGCAGAGAGCCCAATGTGGGTCTTGATCCCAGGACCCTGGGATCATGACCTGAGCCAAAGACAGACACTTAACCGACTGAGCCACCCAGGCGCCCCTCTATCCTTGTTCTGCCACATTTAAATTTTATTTGCTACCCTCCCCACCACCAAAATTTGATACCTTAAGATGGTGAAATGTTGCTGTGTAAGTTATACCTCAAGAAATTTAATTTAAGGGGCGCCTGGGTGGCTCAGTGGGTTAAAGCCTCTGCCTTTGGCTCAGGTCATGATCTCAGGGTCCTGGGATCGAGCCCCGCGTCGGGCTCTCTGCTCAGCGGGGAGCCTGCTTTCTCTTCTCTCTCTCTGCCTGCCTCTCTGCCTACTTGTGATCTCTGTCTGTCAAATAAATCAATTAAAAAAAAAAAAAGAAACTTAATTTAAGAGAAAAATCCATCTTTGAAACTTTGAAGCTATCTCAGTAACCCTCCCTCAAGGCTCTAACTCTACAGGATGTAAACCACACAGACACTGGTCAGTAGCTTTGAGTAGATGGCAAGCCTGCATTTTCCTTCCTTTCAACCAATGGAGGCTTGGTGGCTTTGGGAAAAAAAGAGGCACCTTGTAGTATCTCACGATACAGTTCTCCATACCTGTTTTTCACTTGGGTCATAATGAGATAAGTCCAAGGAATCCTGCATCAGCCTTTCTGGAAGGGGCTAGGCCTGAACCACAGAACAACCCAGGGAATGGCTGGACATCAGATGCCTACAGCATCTTTGTTGTTGTTGTTGTTGTTGCTGTTGTTTGTTTTTTTGTTTTTTCTTTCAAATATTTTATATTCCACTTCCTTAATTTGCTATTGGTTTACTTGTAGAATAATAGACAATAAACTGTAAATTCTTTATTTTGACGCATAATTCACATAAATCTGTTTTCCCCAGAGCTCTAGGAGGTACAAAACTGTCCCAGGGTCCACTGTGTCAGTTGAGGATCTAAGGAGTGGGTGGGGCTCTGAGTTCCTGCTTCACCCAGATCTGGTTGAAGGCATTCAATGCAAGAAATAACTACCCCTTCCCCCTTTTAAGGCTAAATGACTTTATTGTTAATGATCGTGCTCATAATAATAAAACAACTTTGTGTTTGAATCCATTCTCCTCAAACGGCTCCAACAAAATTTAACAAAAACCTGTTACTCCTATAATTTCATTAGAAAAATGAGGATAAGTATTACGCCCATTTTTCAGATGAAGTAACAGAAAACAAAACAAAACAAGAGTTATTTTCTTCCACAATAAGTAACATTTTTCAGGGTAGCATCCAGGTCTCTTACCCATATTTTAACCACTAGTCTATTGCCAAGAGTAATAAAACCAACTGAACATTCGTATTGTATTTTTTGGATTTTCTGGATTTCTCTTTTCCATAATAATATTTGATTACAATTTTCCTTCGAAAAACTCACCTATGTTTGATTTTTTCAGATGCACAGCTATATATGAATGCAGAACCAAATGAAGAGGTTAAAAATACAATGAAAAGACAGGCATTGTTGTGATGGTTAAATGTGATAACATAAGCACAGAGCTTAATTTTGTGTTAGCTGAATAGGTTCTGGATAAATGCCAGTTATTCTCACTACTGTTATTAGTAATGTCATTATTGTGTTTAGAACCTGTTAGATAGAGTCTGCTGTAGTAATTATCTGACATAGTAGGGAATCTGTAAGGGGGTATATGGGAGAAATCCTCAATCCTTTTCCTAAAAGCTTTTTAATAACTGAAATAAAAGTAAAAGGAAACCTATGAATGTGATTAATTTTTATGAAGGTTGATTTATGACAGAAATTGATTTTTCCCTAAGGAAAGACATTTCTGGTTTTTATTTATTTATTTTTTAGATTTTTAAATTTATTTTAGAGAGAGAGAGAATATACAGGGGAAGGGGCAGAGAGAGGGGGAGAGAGAGAGACTCTCAAGCAAACTCGTGCTGAGTGCAGAGCTCAAGGTGAGGTTCAGTTCCACAACACCAAGATCATGACCTATGCCAAATCAAGAGTCAGGCACTTAACCAAATAAAAGCCAGGTGTAAAGTTAAAAGGTAGCTTTGTGAAGAGGCTCACATTGTGAGCAATGGAGACCTGCCAATAACCATGTGAGTGAGCTTGGAAGCAGATTTCCTCCCCTAGTCCCAGTTGAACCTTCAGATGAGACCACAGTGCTGATGAACCACCTCATGAAAGACCTTGAGCCAGAGGCACCCAGTTAAGCCTTTTCTAGATTCTTTTTTTTTTTTTAAGATTTTATTTATTTATTTGACAGAGAGAGAAATCACAAGTAGACAGAGAGGCAGGCAGAGAGAGAGGGGGAAGCAGGCTCCCCGCCGAGCAGAGAGCCTGATGCGGGGCCCAATCCCAGGACCCTGAGATCATGACCTGAGCCGAAGGCAGAGGCTCAACCCACTGAGCCACCAGGTGCCCCAGCCTTTTCTAGATTCTTGACCCACAGAAGCTGAGATAATAAATGTTTATTGTTTTAAGTGGCTGAATATTGGAGCAGTTTGTTATACAGCATATGTAACTAATAGATAAGCAATAGATAACTAATACAAGAGGTTACACAATTGGGAACATACATTTTTCCACCTTATTCTAAGGCAAATACTGGCATAATTTCTAGCACATTTCTAGTCTTGAGCATTGAATGTATGTTCATTCATGCTACTAAATATTACTAATGGATTTTTAAAAATTCTTTAAAAATATTGTGGCAGTTGGGGGAGGTAGGTAAAAATCATGTCACATGAAGATTGAGATGCTATGGGTGCTGTTTTTTAGGGTGTGAGTGGAGTTGTGTGGGAATAGACATGCTTTCCTTGTTCTATGTGACCCTGAAGAGTAGAGCAAAATGCAATGACTGGAAGTTGCAGGCAAGCAGGTCCTGGCCCCACTGAATTTTGCTTATATTTCAATAAAACACTAAGAATAAAAGTCATGTCAACTGCTTGTCTCCAAAAATTAAATCTACATATGAAGGTTATCTGCAAACAATGAAAAGTTCTACTGTCTGTGTAAGATGGAATTGTGGGTGACTTTTTAAAATTGTGGATGATTTCTAAAGTTATTATTTTTCCACATTATTCTTTATGTCATTATATTGTCTTTGCAATTAAAATGAAATGTATTACAGGAAAGGAATGCTAGACACTGTGTATTGTTAGAATATTTCCTGTTTTGATTTGTTACTGTGTCTCCGGCTGACCATGTCATTTCTTCACAGAGAAATGTCTGATGATCCCAGGCAACACCCTTTCTTCAAAACCATCAATTTTGCTCGCCTGGAAGCTGGCCTAGTTGAGCCCCCATTTGTGCCAGACCCTTCAGTGGTTTATGCCAAAGACATCGATGAAATAGAAGATTTCTCTGAGGTTCGGGGAATCGAATTTGATGATAAAGATAAGAAGTTCTTCCAAAGATTTGCAACAGGTGCTGTCCCTATAGCATGGCAGGAAGAGATTATAGAAACGGGACTATTTGAAGAATTGAATGACCCCAACAGGCCTACAGATTGTGGGGATGGTAATTCATCCAAGTCTGGTGTGTGTTTGTTATTGTAAGTTGTTCTCTCCACCAGATGGGCAGCAGGAATCTCAGCTGACATAATCCCCCCAAATGTTCCTAACACATGAAAATCTGTTGATGAGGACTGATCAGTCAGGAGGGGCATTTCAACCACAGAACAGTTCAAAGGACAGGTGAGCTCACTGCTAGGACACATTTTTCTCCCCTCTTCTCCCCCTCCCTTCCTGCCTTTTCCCTGCTCTCCCCTCTCTCCTTCCCTTCCTTTTCTCTCCTATCTTCTCCTCTCCTCTCCTTCTCTCCTTTCTTCTTTCTCTCTCTCTCTCTCTCTCTTTCCCCCCCCACTTCTTTCTTCTTTCTCTCTTTTTTCATAAAGATGAGTAAAGTCTCAGTTTTCATGAGGCCTGGGAAAAGGAACACTCAGGTTTATTTTGATAAACTAAAAGCATGAGCCCTCCACCATCATGTCCCTGAAAATTACACAAAGTCCTAGGAATAGAGAATGGAACGTTGTGGTATACCCAGAAAATGAGCATTTGCAATTCTTGGTAAATAACCATTGTAGTTTTTCTTTGTTTATATCCTTTTCCCCTTCATCTTTCAGTATTTCTTCTGCTTCTGTACTTATAAAGGATTTGGAAGCTGGAAATAAATGTTCCTCATATTCTCCCCCCTAAAAAGAAGTGGATTGTAATATTTTGGCAATATTTTAAATTACAGAATAATTTTTAATTTACTGAGAGTCTCTTTTTCATATTTTTGAAATATTTTACCATTATAATGTTGAAGCATTTTAAATGGAAACATTCATGAGATCTGTGAATTAAGGTGTTCTATAAGTTGAGTCTGCTTACATACATTTTTCCACATGCCATTGGTTCCCAAACTTGCTGAACTTTAGAATCACCTACGGATCTTTTAAAAATACCAATGTCTGACTCCTACCCCCATATTTTAATTGATCTGGGATGCAGCCCCGGCATCTAGATTTTCAAAAGCTCCCCGGATACTAGTGATGTGTGTGGCACATTTGAGAACTAGAGCCATGTAAGCAGAAACACTGTTATGTATGGGTTCTTGTTCTGGTCGCTCAAAGTTTCAGTTATACATTTGACAGCAACTTTTCAAATAACCCCCAAATCATGTAATTTTGGCAATTGCAGTATATATGAAACTGAACATCATTTGTATTCATCTTGTAGACTTTCCTGTCCTTGTACGCTTTAGTTATTCACACATACCTTGTGAAGTAGACACTTGGCTATTTCAAGACCTGAAGGAGAAATACAGCCTTCAGCAGCTGATTTAAACAAATGGTAGCTGTCAGTTCAAGTGGCTGCCCACTATAGAATTAGCACTTCTCAAGACCACAACCAAAGTGAAAATTCTAAGGGTACCAAAAAATATTTTGGGCACAATTATAAATCCTGAGGTGATTATACTTAAAGAAAAAAAAGGGAGGCACGTTACTGGCTCATCTGGTAGAGCATGTGACCCTTGATCACAGGGTCATGAGTTCAAGCTCCATGTTGGGCATTGAGCTTACTAAAAAAAATAATAATAATAAAATACAAAAATAAAAAGAATAATAAAACGAAATTTTAAGAAAGGATAAAAAGGATCTATGTGTGCGTACGGAAATCTCACTTGTGCCATTGGTGACAAACCTGGCTGAAATCATTTTAAAAGTTTTATCTCTTGAGTACAGGAGCCAAGAGTTGCAAAAACACCAGTCAAAAAGTAGTTGGTTAACTGGAACTCAGCCAACAGTAATCCTCAACTACAAGACAGCATTAGCCCTATCCTGCACAGTAAGTAAGAAGCAAGAAATCCTCTCGGGCTTGAGTCATGGGTTCGTGCATCTACTACTCACCCTCCTGCTCATTCTCTATCCTCAGCAACTCTTGATGCTCCAGATCCTGCCCTGGAGATACTGCAGAGTCCCGGGTCATCAAAGCAGATAAAAGTGTGTCCTGCAGATTCTTTTTCCTAAGGCAAGAAAGTAGATTAAAATTTTATAAAATTTATAACAAGTCTATTTTAACAAAAAACCAAATTCACCATTAACAGAGATCCAACTAACCAGAGCATTCCAAGAGTAAGAGGTCTTAGTATTTAGCTTGTAATTAGACATTTAAAAGTAATGTCTTACTGCATTGGTTCCGTAAAGTGAATGTCTACTGCTCTTGCTAAACTTTAATACAAATCTGTGTTTCATTTCTTAGAACTAACTCAGGAAAGTAAATTGAGTAAGATAACTGTATTCAAACAATCACCAAGTAAATATGTATTGAGCTAAATTACACATTGAGCCCCATCCTGGGCATTTAGGGGACACGACAGAGAAATAAGACAGTTGTCTAAGAGAGGCCATATGGTATAGGGTAGAATGCAGACTCCTGTCATTGTTATTACTCACATTTTAAATGAGAAACTGGGGCACCTTGGTGGCTCAGTGTACTGAGCATCTGGCTTTTGATTTTTAACTCAGGTCATGATCTCAAGGTCATGGGATCGAGCCCGGAGTCAGGCTCTGCAGTCAGTGGGGAGTCTGCTTGGGATTCTCTCTCTCTCTCTCCCTCTGATCTCCTCCCCTGCTTTCTCTCTCTCTGAAATAAATCAATCTTCTTAAATGAGAAACTGAAGCTCAGAGATGTTCTGTAGTTTGTCCAAGATCACACAGCTTTTCAGGGGTGTAGCAAAGACTAGAAATAATGGATATGAAACACATAGCACATGAGTTGCATATAGTAGGGCATAACAAATTGAAGACTGTGGTCAATAGGTAGCAGCAGGTCAAATGATTCTAGATCAGGGAACAAACTAGTATGAGCTAAACTTGGCCACCTTAATTAAAAATTCCAAAGGAGGTGAGAGAAGGAAGAGAGCTGGGTCCCGGGGAGCAGTTTAAAAGGAAAGTTTTTATACACAATGGAAGAAAAATCTAATTAGAATAAATGGAGACATTGGAGTCCATCCCAGGCCCCATCCTTATCACATGCCAGGTACAGGACCCACCTGGGGCACAGCAGAGGGAAGGAGGCTTCTGGCTACAAGGGTGGGTTATGTGAGGGACAGACCTGATCAGGGAGATTAAATATCAGATATGGAGAGAAATAAGTGAATGCAGAACCATCTGCTCAGGTCGTGGGTGGAATTCAACTAAAGACTTAAATAAGACGAAACCAGATGTCTCACCAAAGGAAGAAAGTGATTTTTGAAAGGGGTGATGCTTGCTTATTTTCCAAAAGTGAAAATGAGCTTAGTTTTTTATAGAAAGTTTCATAAACATAATGAAACATCAGGGAAAGCAAATACATATATGAGTGAGGTATTCGACAAAGAAGAACCAGAGTGAAGTCATCTTTATTATTCCAGTTTGTCAGGGGTTATCTGGAATGTTTGTTTTCTACAGGAGGAGATGGGTTTAAAGGAGATGGAGAAGCTATGGGAAGGGACATAGAGGCAAAAGGTACGCATGAGGTTTTCATAGAAAACAGTGATGAATTATTGAGTTTAAGATTGTGTCCCATGAAGAGATGAAAAATATTCTCAATTGTTTATTTTCAATATCAGATTGAAGATGTTTCTCATTTAGGTGACCAGGCATGGAGGTGAAAATTCAATTAATTGGGCTTCTTAGGAACTGCGTGTCTTGAAATCATGAGAGTCTATCAGATCAATTTTTTAAGGTTATTATATTGTATGTATCATGAAGGCAGTTTAATAATAAGACTTGATTTATGTAAATTGGCCATGAAAACTAGTGAAAATGCATAATCCTTGCTTCTTAAAGAGTTGTCCTGGACAGTTTTAAATCTTAAGAATTTTTTTTAATGACATGAGGGAAAAAAAACAGATGCAAGAATGGAGGAGGGGGTAGGATGCCAGAAAGACCATATTAGCCATTTTGATGATCAAAAAATTTTTCAAAGACTTACTGATCATCTAGACTAGTCATCAAGACTTTCTTGGACCATCTAGGAAAAAAAATTGCAGTTATTTCGGTTTAGTTATTTGTTCAATACATATTGTTACCTGCGTGTGCCAGGCTCCATTTTGGTTTAGGGAGAGATGCTTGGTTTTCTCCCTTTAGGATTTTTAGATTGGAAAGTGCTTTTGTTGCCCCTGTGTGTCAGTAAACCTTTGTATCTCTCTGGGTGGAGATGAGTTTTTTTTTTTGTTTTTTTTTTTTTAAAGATTTTATTTATTTATTTGACAGACAGAGATCACAAGTAGGCAGAGAGGCAGGCAGAGAGAGAGGAAGGGAAGCAGGCTCCCTGCTGAGCAGAGAGCCCGATGTGGGACTCGATCCCAGGACCATGGGATCATGACCTGAGCCGAAGGCAGCGGCTTAACCCACTGAGCCACCCAGGCGCCCTGGAGATGAGTTTTGTTCCTCTCACTTCTTCTCAGGTTTTCTGTACTGACCACATTTTTATTTTAAAAATCAGGAAAAAGTATATCATTTAAAGCAAAGCAAGGCCAGTCACAGCTGGACCCCTTTCTGGCTGACGGGTATCAGCCTGGATCCTGGGAGTAAAGACCTGACTCCTGGTCCAAGCCAGCAGAATCTCCTTGGACAGAGCCAGCAATTGGTGCCCAAGGTTAGGCCAGATTATTGGTTCCACAATCTAGACCATGAACTGTGGTGGCTCGTGGTGAGGTTTTACTAAATCTCAGGGAAATGAAAGCAAGTACAATGCAGCAAAGTTTCTCATGCACTATTTACTTCAAAATATCTTTTTATGCAGCAGCTCTTTCTGCCACGGGCCTACCCCCATGCTTTAATAAAATCACCTTTTTGCACACACACACACACACACACACACACACACACACATAAAAATCTTTTTATGAAGAAGTTGGTATTTGGGACGCCTGGGTGGCTCAGTTGGTTGGGCTGCTGCCTTCAGCTTAGGTCATGATCCCGGGATCCTGGGATGGAGTCCCACATCCAGCTCCTTGTCCAGCAGGGAGCCTGCTTCTCTTTCTGCCTCTGCCTGCCACTGTGGCTAATTGTGCTCTCTTTATGACAAATAAATAAATAAATAAAATTTTTTTTAAAAAGCTGATATTTGATAAAAGTAAAATTGGAGACCCTCTGGAGCCCCTCCCTCAAATTTTTTTTGAAATTTTACGGACCTGTGAGATCTCAAAATCTGGGAACCCTTGGACCAAATGACCTT